TCGCCCGGGCGTCTCAGTCTCACCGGTCCGCCGGGCCCCGCGGTTCGGGATGCTGCTGCCTGCTCGCGAGCCGCCTGCCACGCTTGCCCCCGCCGCCGGGGCCGCGCCTCGCTGTTTACATGCCGGTGGAGCCCGGGCCCCCCGAAGGTGAAAGTAGCCGGCTCACAGGACTGATTCCTCCGATCCCGGGCTCCGGACTCAGATCCTCTGCTGCCCCGCAGCCTCCGCCGCCATCTGGACAGGATCCGGCTCTGGTGTTTTTGAGGAGGGGGGTGTGGTGTCGGGAAAGGAATCCCGAGGATTTCTGGGATCCCCTTCCTTTTTTTTTTTTTTCTCTTTTTCTTTTTCTTTTTGCCCTGCGGGCTTAAGACTCAGGGAACTCGCTCATGGCTTTTTTGATGAAGAAGAAGAAATTTAAATTCCAAACCACCTTCACCCTGGAGGAGCTCACTGCGGTCCCCTTCGTGAACGGGGTCCTCTTTTGCAAAGTCCGGCTGCTGGATGGCGGGGATTTTGTCAGTTTGTCGTCTAGGTAGGCATTGAGGCTTTCGTGTTTGCAGGGGAAGGTGTGTGTGTGTGTGTGTGTGTGTGTGTGTGTGTGTCTGTCGGGGGTGCTGGTGAGTGAGATCTTGGCAAGTGTGGAAGCCTCAGGTGGCGGCGGACAAGGGGCTTCCGGGCGTTATACGTGTCTGGGGGAAGATTTGCTCTAGGCAGTTACTTGGGTCCTAGTGAGCTGGCAGTGTGCCAGGCACTTGTCTGCAGGTTACCAGCCAGAAACCTGTTAGGGCCCTGCATACATTCTCCAGGTCACCGTTTTGCAAACTTGCATGGAGAGAGCTGAATGAAATTTGCACCTTGAGGGAGTAAGTAGGGGTGTCCCAGGCCATCTTGCCACCAAGCTGGCCCCTGTGGTTGTCATATGATTGGGAGCCTGGGCCAGCCACAGGTCTTCTGGCACTCTCCGTTCCCAGTCACTCCCTGGATCTGACTGAAGATGGTGGCTGGATTTTGGGTTGCCCAGCCCCCTCTGTGTGACTGCCCTCCTCTGGCTGAAGCTGGGCTGCTTTGCATTGCAAATGTCCTTGCCAGGAGACTGCCTTCCTCTGTGAAAGAAGCCCTCCAGTTGGGTTTTGTGTCTCTGGCCGTCCTGGCAGGTCCAGCTTCCCAGCTTATGCTGAGTGAGATCAGAGTTCTCAGCCTACCCTTTGCAGATAGAGCTCACTGGGGCCACACAGTTCTGGCCTGCCTGCCGAGGTCCTTGGAGTCCAGCTGATGGGGAAGGGGAGTCAAGTTCTGGCTCTTTCTGGGTTCCTGCTCCTCTTCTGCACAGTGGACCACACAGGTTTCCCCATCAGAGTCACGGAGAAAAGTTGCAGTAGATAGGCCCACAACACAGCGCATGGCCCTGGGTCTGGGATACTCTACTCCTCACCTAGTCTGGCCTTTGCTCCTTAGGTCTTGTGGGCCTCGTTAGTTAGCTGGAGATGCCTCACTGTTCGGAGATCTCGGAGGTGTGTTTTACTGATTGGGATAATGAGCCTCAGAAAGAGGAAGTAAGTGGTTGCCAGGGACCTTGCCTGAGTCAGTTGTCAACCAAACTTGGCCTCTTCGGAGACCTGTTGGGTGAATCTGCTGGGAGCAGAGAAGCTGTGTGGCCCGGTTCTGATTTTGGAATCTGTGTGCATAGAGTGAGGTGCCTGTTCTATGCACTGGGCCTCCTGTTCTGCTAGGAGCTGCTTATCTGAGGAATTTGGACAAGGGGTGCCCTTTGTGGTGGGGGTGGCTGCAGTCTGCTGCCTGTGGAGCCTGTAGAGAGCTACCCCGCCCGCTAGGCACAGTGTCAGAGGGTCGTGAGTGCTCAGAGAAGGTCCCGGACTCAGCCCCTTTAGGCTTTGGGTGAATTACCCAGTCCCCCTGATTCTCTGATCTCAAGAGCTAGCGATTGTTGGTGCTCTGCTTGCCATTTGACTGGGGCCTCTTAACCCCTGGACTGTGCCATGGGGCAGGAGTCGAGGTGGGGGTCTGGGGAGCATTTTCACAGATGTGAAAATAGAGGCTCAGAGAGAGTGGCTTTATGCTACCTTGTGCCTCAGAGCCTCAGTTTCCTCTTTTGTAAAATGGGGAAGTAATACCCACCTTTTGGTGGGAGGGGGGTGGAGAGTGTACCATGTCTGGGTGTAGCTTCACCTGTCTGCCTAGACCCTTAGCCAGCCACTGTGACCTACCTGTGAGCTTTTCCTTTGCCCCAACTTGCCCCTACATCCTGGAAAGTCTGGAAAGTTCCGGGACTTAGCACACATGCTCTGGATTTCACCTCTGTTTCCCCTTCTTCCTCCTGGCAAAAGGCCACAGATTCTCTGAGCCCCACTGAACCTAGGCAGCCTTTCCTGGTACCCATTCTGGATAAAGCCTGCGGGATGGGGTGTGGGGGGGATTGCTAAAGAGGAAGAGCTGGCATTGAGGCCCAAAGCCGAGCACTTAGATGCTGGGCTCCAGGGTACTGCAGCTGTGGTTGCAGAGAGCAGTGATTTTGGAACTTGAGTCACTTTGAAGTGGCTTTGGCTTCTGTGAGCTTTTACCCAGGCAGTGGGGGCTCCTAGGTTGCTATTCCCTCTGCCCACATCCCTTCCACATTGATCCTGCAGCCTGGGCCACCCCTCCACTACTATGACCCTATTGTTTATAAGTTGGGGTAGGGACTGAGGTGGTGGGACCCGCTTAGACCCTGGGCCTGGATGTGGCAGCACATCTTCCCAACCCCAGGGACCTCTGAATTGCTTGATGTGCTGTTGGCAGCATGGGTGGTGTCAGATTGACAGCAGCCCGGGCCCCACCCCTGCAACACCCGCCTCCCTAGCTGGTGTTTTCCAGTGTGTTGAATGCCATGGCAACAACCGGTACTCAGCTCTGTCTGACCCAGGTGGAACAGGTGGAACAGGTGACTGCTGAGGTTGTTCCTTAGCCTCATCTTCCAACACTGCCTTAGGAGCAGCAGTTCACACAGCAGCCAGGCTGTTAGTACCCAGGCTGCCAGGCATAGTGCTGAGTGTTTTGCACAGGGTATCCCCATTAATCCTCCAAGCCATCTGGAGAGACACTGAGGCCAGAGAGATAGAATCATGTGCTGGGAGGTTACCAGATTATAAATGGCAGTTGGGGAAACAATTCTTTTCCCATCGTGGCTTTCTTCAGTTGTGGACTTGCTGATGCCGGGGACTTGCTGAGCTACTCAAGTACCTGACCGTATGCCCTACTTGTAGGTGAGGACACTGAGGTCAGGAGAGATGAAGTGACTGGATCTCTGGAGTAGAGACAGAGCTTGATCGCAGCAGTTCCAATTCAGAGCCTTGCCTTGCCTTGGTGGCATGAGTGAGAAGCAACTGGAGACCCATGTGACATTTCAGACCCTACAAAGGCTTCTTTCAGTGGGTCGGGTGGTACGGCAGAATCTGGAGCTGCATAGTTTAGAGGCACTGACTGGGTTTTGTGAAACTCAAGGCAAATACAGAGCCCCCAAGACTATAAGGTGAGGAGGGGACTAAAATAATCACTGTATTTGTGGTCAGGCTTAGGCCGTCACTGGGGCACAGTGGGCATTTGCCATGTGTCCTTGCCTGGGGCCAAGTGTACCTGGGAGGGCTTTTGGGTTTGGAGGGTATCCAGGAGCATACAGAGGTCCCATCCAAGTGTGGTGAGTCTGGCAGACGCTAATGTGTCCAAGTGGCCTTCAGGTCAGAAGGATCCCAAACCTCCCAGGGGCCCTGCCCCTTGATAACATTGGTCCTGTGGCTTGCCACATGCGTGTGGTGGCTGTGTCGGGGGGAGGAGTACAAGGGAACATTGACTACCTCACAGGATGGAGAAGAGAGGAGAGAAAGACACTGTCCTCTTAGCCAATGGATGGGGAAACCACACTCGGGGCAGAAGAGTGACTTGCCAGGGCTGCTTCATAGGGGGAACAGTTGACCCAGTTGGACAGACTCTGGTAGTCTAGCTCTTACCTCTGTCCCTTGCGCTTCAGCCCATTAAGAAAGTGGGCTGGCCAGGAGGAGAAGAAAGGTCCCTTGCAAGGCTACCTCCTGCTCTGTGCTTGAGTGCCAGGCGGTCTGAGAAGCCGGCTGTGACTTGAAGAGTCCCCACCCCCCACCCCATCCTTGTCCTTTCTTCTTGGCCAGCTCTGAGTCCTCAGTGGGCCTTCAGTGGAGTTTGATTTTTGTAAATAGAGCCTGGCTGCTTACCACACAGGCACTGCCTGCCTTCTCTGGGCACAGCCGTGTGCCCACCATGTAGGAGTACTCAAAGGAGCCTTTGGGACTCCTTGAGCATGAAGGAAGTCCTTGGAAGAGTTAGCTCCG